GATGAACGAACAGGTGTACATAAAAGAGTGCCTCCAGAAGCGGCTGCTTCCTCTCCTGAAGGCCCACAACGTCCCAACAATCTTCTGGCCGGATTTGGCCTCATGCCACTACTCCAAGGACGTGCTGAAGTGGTATGCGGACAATAAGGTCAATTTCGTGCCGAAAATGTTCAACCCTCCCAACACTCCGGAGCTCCACCCCATCGAGAAGTACTGGGCGATTATGAAGCAGTACCTTCTTAAACGACCTAAGGTAGTGAAGACAGTCGAGGAACTGAAGAAAGTATGGGTTTACATGCAAAAAACGGTTGATTCACAGGTTGTGCAGAATCTTATGGCCGGGGTTAAGGCCAAGGTGCGGGCATTTGCGTATGGACTGTAAATAAAATACGAGTAAAATGGTAAAATGAAGTTTAATAGTTATTTCTCAATCCCTGAAAATTTGATGGCAATCGGATGAAAACTCGAATTTTGCGAATCAATTTTGTGTGTGGTAATTTCATCGTGGACACCCTTTAACATGGATATTTTCCACTGGTTATGTGTTTTATTTTATGAGTGTAGATGTTACATCAACAATATCCTTCCTTTCCCCTTTAACGAAGAAGCTTGGCGTGGCCGGCAATGACAATTGTCATGCTTTTTCTGTTCTGAACTTTGATTGAAGAACTATTCACTTCCAAATAGTTTTCCTTAAGCAATTATAATAAAAACGGTAAAATAGGTACATGACAGTTGCCAGTATACAATCAACGAATCACTCCATAACAAACGCAACGCAACCCAAAACGCAATAAATTGAAAACGGTGCATACTTAGGGCTTCCTGAAAATGTTACACGATGTTACAGACAAAAAAAAATCAAGTAAGTTGTTAGTCTAGTCGAGTACACCCTAAAATCACATTTTCAATTGTTCAAACACACCCAAAATTTATTTTTTTTTTGTTAAAAACCGATTTTGGGTAAACGATTGGGTAAACGACCAGTATCATGTAACTCAATCATTTTTCATCGATTTTCAATTGTTGAGCAATGATTTTTCAAACATTTCCAATTTACCGTTGGAAAGAAAAACTCAAAGCTTTTGAAACATTTACACACTTATGGCGATTTTACTGAAATTCGTTGAGATTTTTCTGAATAAATTTGATTTTTATGCAAATAGGGGAATTTACGTATTCTCGTCAATCTAAGCAGCGTCCGCACTTCTATTAACATTTTCACAGCGTCACGCACATATATGACGTATCTGTTTGTTTCAATTCATCTGCTGCTTGCTTCTCTATCCATTCCAATCGACAGAATTCTTCAAAACTGTTTGAAAGCGTTTTTACAACGCTCTAAACTTCTCAGGTGAGTGTGACTATTGTCGGCAGCCTCTTTTTCTTCGGCAACCTTCCCATTAGAACTGCGTGTTAACCAGCTGTTCTATTATCGGCAACTCGAAATCAGCCCCATTTTGTATTACGTATGCTTCATTTGAAGAAAAATCTGGCATAAAAGGATTGCTCGGTCCTACAAATATAATCAGATTGAAGCTGAAAGACTAAAGAATCATTTGGATACATTCAGGGAAGTGTGTTGATGGTAAAACATAGTGAAATTAACGTTTAAATTTTGATTGCCGAAAACAGTCAATGGGTGCCGAAGCCGACATTTACCCTAAATAGTATTTTTAACTTAAGACGCCATTAGGGTGACCAAAACATGACCATCCTTTTCGCCTCATCACTTGTTTTCTATGCAAATTTGAGCCCAATCGGTCAACATTTGATACTATTTGAAACTATTTTTTCCGAGTTGATGTTTAAAATGTATGAAAAACACAATTTTCAACGTTTTGTCTCTAAGAAGTTTTGCAAGCGTACCAAGCATCAATACTCTAATAGGAAACTATATGCTCAACAATTTTTTTCAGAGACCGGAAAACGATCCGAGTTGATCCTGAAATGTTAGTAGCATTTTATTGAAGTGAAGACTGAACTGACAGATAAAAAAGAAAAAGAAATAATAAAAATAATAATCAGTCAGACATCGCTTCAATAAAATACTAATAACATTTCAGGAACTACTCGGATCATTTTCTGGTATTGATCAAAAATGTTGAGCATAAATTTATAGCACCTAGCGACAAAACTTTCAAAATTGCGTTTTGATGTAGGACTACGTTTTTAATTTCTATACTGGGGATCACATAAAAAAAAATCAAACATGTAACGAAAAATCCCAAAAACGGACATAACTATAGAGCGCAAATCGAACACACGACACATTGCGCATGCTCACACGACCGAGCTCACTGCTCGGTTGACCGCTTACCATTTCACCAATGAATGGAATGCTGCTGACAGGAGAGCTAACTGAGCACGCTGTCTCTGGAGATACCCAAGTACACGCGTTTGTTCGCTTCGATCCAAAATGGCAGTTTCATTTGCGACGGAGATGATCACCACAAATTTTGTAGGACCCTGAAGGACGCGGACATCGGAAGTAGCTCTCTGAGTAGCTTCACCATATTTCGGACGTTCCACTGCAGTCGTTCCGTAACGGTTGACTACAACATTGATTACCTGGAAAATTTCAAGCGCTGTGCAATGGTGTAAGCAAGCCTTCCCCAAAGTACCAGCATGTAAATCTCTTGGATCCCAAATGGCGTTTTTCAGGGCCACTATGTTTCTACGCTATTTATTTTAAGATCTCTACATGGTTGGTAAAACAGGTTCACAAAATTGAAATATTTTTGAACCAAGGAGAAATAACAGCAAAGTGCCAATAGCAGTGTTCGGAAAATCACTATCAGCTTTGGTTCATTGAGTCTCCGTGAGAGAATAAACTTACGTAAATCATCCAGCTCAAAACATTTCAACAGACGTCAATTGGTAGCACGTTTATGCATTTCGTATTAGTTCTCCATCCACTGAAGCAAATACAACAGCAATATCAACAAACAGCGCAACATAAAAGGAGCGCCAAAAGGCAACAGCGATTAGTACCTATTCGTTCCGTACCCTCCAACTCCAACAACCCTTTCGATGGACACCAGGAAAAAACAACACGGTCCTTTTCAGGGCCACCATTTGAAAAATAAAAGGCCCTTTTCAGGGCGTCTTAGATTAAAGTATTCATCACCTATTTCTCTTACCATCGGCCTATACTTACTGATATAGGTAAGTAGTAATATCATCATTCAGAATTTAATGTCACAAACAAACTTTTGAAATTACAGGTATCAATAATCACTGTTTTTTCATCAGCTACACAGTAGCCGTCCCACACGATCAAAAGCACACCAGAAAAAAAAAAAACAAATAACGATCCTTCTCAGGGCCACCATTCGAAAAACAACCGGCCTTTTCAGGGCCACCAATTCAAAAACGGTAAGAGTTAAGATAATAGATAATCTATCAATTAAAAGAACTAAAGGCATAACATATTTGTTCCGTCCACTAGCGGTCCTACGTCAAACTTCCGGTCGTGCCCCTTTAAACTTCAGCTCGGAAAAGATAGCTTGGCGAGGGGGAAGGAACATGTTTTAACAACCTTAATGGCGTCTAAAGCAAAAAATGCATTTTTTTTTTATAAAAAATTTATAAAAATCACATTCAATGTGCCTATATTTCAAAAAACTCTACTACTTTTTGCTTTCCAATATCATTTATTAATCAAAAATCGGATAAGAAATGATTGAGTTACTCTTGATAGTATGCGATCACTAATCCAAAATAGTTTTTTTAACAATAACTTTAAATTTTGGAGGTGCCAGCACAATTTCAAATGTGATTTCATGATGTACTTGACAGCAACAATAGTTCACTTGAAAAGTTGATTTTTTTTTATTTGTAACACTGGTTTATTTTTATTTTTTATTAATTAATTTATTTGTACAGGCTCAATCGAATAAACTTTACAGAGAAAAGTTATCATTTGCGTTATACATAATTGATGTCTTAAATCTAGAGTTAAAGGAACTGAACCGATTACTCGCGGTCGTCTCGAGGTTAGTAGAGATTTACAGTTTTATGGATGGGGAGAGGAAGGAGGAGGTTTGAGTTATGATTTACGATACAAAGACACTGATTTATTACTGGATGCAATTTCTTCTTAAATTACGGAATTTAGGATAGTTGCTCTTGAATAAATAAATAATGATCTGTGAAGCATAATGTACAGCTTATTCAAATTTCTCACACAAATGTTAGACTTTTATTCAGTAAAAGTAGTCTGCATTCATCTAGTTGATTCAAATCCCCTTATAGCTGCTATGTTGCTTTGCTTAACTCGTGTAAGATTATACAATATCTTAGTTTAGCATCCTGTTTCCGTTCAAGACGATGGGATTTTAGTGAATGTCCGCCGGTAAATATTTCGTGCCTGCTCTAAAACGCTACACATGCAGATAATTTACAACTGGTGCTAGCATTCCAATCATAGTTTTTACACAATTCAAATTGTAACTAAATTGGATAAACCACGAGTTCCACAGGCATGTCGATATCAATTTCCACAGTTTTGCCACATTTTTCAACCAAACTGCTTTGCAAATCCACCCGGTAGAGTTGAGCTAGTGATGGCTGGAAGATTAAACCAGGTAGTAACTGAATTTTCCATCAAAAGTTGAGAATGCTTCAAAAACCAACGTAGAATAAATGGATTCAAGTTCATACCACCAAGGTATAAAACGCCTGTTTACGTTCATTGGAATTTTCCCACTTTGGCGCTCTCGTTTTTTTTAATGGCGAGTAACCACAACATCAACAGGTTTATTTTTGCATCTTAGCCAACAAGTGTGGCCACACCGAACACGTCACGGAACCAGAAGAGCAGATAACAACATAAACCAACAAAACAACACCGGCTGCTGATCCGGATTCCACCGGAAAAAAGGAGTGAGAATATACAAACAGAGAGAGAGAGTGTCATCCCCTCGCCTCGTTTTCAAAACCTCAACTGAAGAAATACAAACAATCCACCTTTCACCTGCCGCGCGAAGGAAACTTACCGGTAATAAAAACGGTTATCAAAATGCTCAAGTGATTGTAGAACTTGCTCAAGCTGGCCGTTGTCGAGAACATGCTGCTGCGGGATGGATGCCTTTTGCTGCGGTTCGTTTCTCCGGAACACTTGTGGTATGGTATAAATAACATGCACACCGATTCACTACCGACGTACCACACTATTTACCGCGCTCTGAGCACTGATATAAGTAGCACTCCCCCAAGAGCAGTTTAAGATTTGTTACGAAAATAAATGCAAACGTACTGAGAACGACCGCGCCTGCTGCTTTTGCGAATCGGATAATTTCTATTTCTAATCTCTTAGATCAAAACGGTGTCTTGATGTGTTGATTAGCTTGTCGAAAGTTGTCTCGTTTCAGACTGAGTATTCTACCGAGGCATCAGATCGTTGCCGCCTGTCACACATAAAACTAGATCCTTTTACGAGTTCAACTTTGTAGTCAAGCTGTTTCTCAATAGACCATTCCTTCACAGTTTGCACACTTCCGTTTGAATATACCTCCCCGGTTTGAACTTGGTAGCAAAACACAATGTTATCGCGCGGTTCCCTGGATGACAAGGCCTCGGTCCTCTTGTCAATGGCCGTATCTCTCTTTGGTCCACACTCACGGTAAATATTGGCAAACAATCACTCGCGAAAATGATAGCACGCACACACCTGTGTGAATTGCCACGATGAATCGTTCGAACCGCCTGATCTCCTTCGTTTGAAAGCAATCTTATACAATGTAGAGTACCTTCTATAAGCAACCGAGCGCGGTGACTGTTAACTGCCAACTGAATGAAACTCGCTGGTTGGGTGGTTGGTTAGCATGCTTTTGCTTTCTATCCGTGTACATATCCATCGCATATTGGTAGGTAGGTTCGTTGCGAGACAGATGTGCTACAACAGCACCACCCATCAGAACTCGTAGCATGCATGCAACATCGCACGGCACGAAGCAACGTTGCGTATGCAGGGACATGAAACAAAACAACACTGCAATGTCGTGCACCACTCGGCAGTTGTGGAATGGGGATGGCTTAATGTTTTATCGAGCCAATTGGATAGCAACATTTACGGGATGAACTGGGGAAACGTTGCGAACTTTGGCCTGCATAATTACTGCATAGTGCTCGTCTCTTGCGAATCAACGAACCGACCGATAAAGCATACCACTAAGATCACATCGCTGGATACATAGATTGAAGGTTGAGGAGTAGCCTAACAATTAGTTGCTTAGGGACTACATTTTGAACAAACGAATGGAGAAATTAAGTTTTAATCTAATTGAAAAATAAATAAGATTAAGATTAAATCTAATCCTTATGTAGGGGAAATGTCGGCTTCGGGAATACCTTAACCTATTATCGTTAGGGAGTAAATAACGTGCTTGAGAGCTCAATTTTGACCATTTTGACATGAGGATACATTGTGTTTCAGAGCATCTATTGGCCAAATTTGAGTGCTCTAAGGCTTTGTTTACTCCCCTGACGATAATAAGTTAAGTTATTGCCGAAACCGACATTTCCTATATTTTGCTTTTCCCAAATGGGTATACGATAAAGTTCTAATTTCCACCATACTAAGCACAGCCCGCCCTTTACCTCTCTTTTTCGAAAGGGTTTGAACAGAAAATGAAAGATGACTTCTAAAATTATTTATTTTACGGTGGAGATATTGTTAAAAATCTAACACCCCGGCAAACAATTTGAGCTTATTAAGAGCTGAACAAGCCAATTTTTACCTGATGAGCATATTTATTTCAATGTTTGTTGGGGTTTCTTCTAGATTCAAATTCCATCCAAGCACATTGAAACGTTGTTGGATTCACTTTGGCATACGGATGAAGGCAGAAAAATGTAGCGCTGTTTTTATTTTTGTGAAAAATTGATGTAAATATTCACATTATGTGTTCTTTAGACTTTGTTTTGTGGCGTTTGAAGTAAAAAATCCTACCAAACTTATGATTGATTCGTTCACGTCGAAATCATTGGTATATTTGATGTTTCTACTCGATATTATAGACGTTTTCGAGTAACAATTTGTTTCAAAATTTCGAATACACCTTTTTGAAGTATTTTGCACGATTCACGACCGTGGTCGAATTTTTCCAAAAATGTTAATGATTGACCTTCACAACAATTATGCAAAGTTTCAAGTAAATCGCAGAAGCTCGAGTCTGATATTTTTTTTTTTGCTATTTGGCCTGGAAATGCTCAGTGCATACATTTTGAGGTTAATTATGGGAAAACATTGAGCAACTTCACACGGAGATTGTTTCCGTTAGTGTGCATGCTTCTAACGTCACTAATATCTATAGGAAGCTTGCTCTGATATTCAGATGACGAAAGAATGGCATGGGGCATAGTTTCCTGTTGTAAATTAATTAATTTTGATTTGCATATTATAGGGGTTTTTTTTCCCAAACACTTCTATGGCCACTAGAAGCCCTACAGGAGCTTGCGCCGGAATGACCGTTCCGAGGACAATCCATCAAATGGCCACAAAATTATCATAAACGGTCTTCTGCTGTAAATCAATGAGTTTTAATACCCATATTTTAGGGGCTCCTTCCCAAACACTTCTATGGCCACTAGAGGCCGTTCCGAGAACAATCCATCAAATGGCCACAACATTATGATAAACGGTCTTCTGCTGTAAATCCATGAGTTTTAATACCCATATTTTAGGGGTTTCTTCCCAAACACTTCTATGGCCACTAGAGGCCCTACGGGAACTTACTCTGGAATGGCCGTTCTGGGGACAATCCATCGGATGACCACAAAATTATGATAAACAGTCTCCTGCTGTAAATTCATGAATTTTGATACCCATATTGCAGGGGTTTCTTCCCAAACACTACTATGGCCACTAAAGGCCCTAAGAGAACCTGCTCCGGAATAGCCGATCCAGTATACACCTTAAACTGGTCCTGAAATTGTTTCTTGAAGGAGATTCTGATACTTTGATATCGATTTCTTCGAAATTCTAGCAAGAAAATGCTTAGTTCTGGAACATTATACAAGACATCCAGATTTCCGGGAACCAAACTATTCCATACGGACATTGTTGGCAATGTCCAGAAAGAAGATAAGTTTCTGAATTCTATGGGGCCACAGTATTCAAAATCGGTCAAAATTGGCCGCAGTAGCAAGTATTTCAATTTGTGGGTCGAGCTTCTTGAGCTCCTAAAGGTGTTTTTTTTGTCGATCACATAACGGTTAAAGAGGCCCACCAACTCATCCCCACACCAAAGAGCTCTCATAAAGAGACTTTAATTTAAAAATAAATATAAGAATTAGAAGGAATAGTAACATATGCTGATAATTTGGAGGTGTGTGTGATGAGCTATCTGTAAAACAAACAAAGTTTTTTTTTGTCCGTCGATCTTGTTTTCCGTGCTGAGCACCAATGCTACCGACGTGCCAGGAAGGCATCTCCCACACCTGGACCCTACCTATCGACCCATCAACTCATCATGAACCGGGGACCAACGGCTTTACTTCCCATCCGAAGGAAGGCGTGATCAGAGATTTTATGCCTCAGAACATCCCGGCGGCGCCGACTGGGATTGAACCCAGGCCTGCTGGGGTGAGAGGTAATCACGCTTACCACTACACCACCGGCACCGTTAACAAACAAAGTTAATAATGTTGGGATTTACCCAGTGGAACTAAAATCCTTTAAAGCGATCCCTTACCTATACATATAAACGATTCAAAATATTAATATATACAGCTTAATAGTAAGTGTAAAGCAATGATAATAATCAGTGTAATTATTATAATTTAGTTTACAAATTTATTTCAAGAGTTCATTGATTTTTGATTTGTAATGTTGTTTCAAACTGGTTTCATATAACAATCGATTATTCAAATTGTTCAATTCCAGAAGTACGTTATATACAGATGGACCATTAAGGAGATTCGTATTTGACCAAGGCATGTAAATGCCCTCAAACGAATTAAATTATTTGCATACCGAGTATTGTGCTCATGATTTGCAATCGGTAAGATAAGGCTACGATGCATGTTCGGGTTTTTTAGCGTATCGTATATACACACTTAATCTAGCTCGGCAAAATCTCTAACAGCCGATTACCTTGGCATTTACTTTTGCTGATATCTCTGTAAAATATCTGTTTGTTAGCTGATATCTCAGCAAAATGTTATTTGTTAGCTAAGTCTCGGCAATTGTTTTACTGAATCTCAACAAATTAAATTGCAGAACTGCTCGGCTGTTGGAATCTTGGCGAAAAAATTTAAGTGTGTAAACAAGCAAGACTGCAATTTACACAAGTCACGTAATGGGAAACGATAGTTCGTATTTATTTGTTGAAGTATTCACTTTGAATAAACAAGCCTATACCAGCAGAAGCAGAAAATTTATATGGATTATGTGACTATGTCAGTTATGTACCAATGGAGACGCAAGGTAGTCTAGTCATATTGGAGTAATGAGCGAAATTTCTAAACATGATAATTTCAAAAAATCGTAAAAGCGAAGAAAAATACATTGCTGATTTTTTTATATGTTGTGTAGAAAAGCCTTTTCAAAGTAAAATATAAAAACGTGTAACGCCTTTTGTCTAGAAAGCATGAAAATCATAAAAAAAAATACAATCAAAGTACTTCTATACAAAACTTAAAACTTTTTATATTTTTTTTCTGATTTTTTTTAATAACTTTTCATTTGATATTTTGATCATTCAAAAATCGGCTCAGTGGTTCATAAGTTATGTTTTAAAAAAACCAGAATTTATCCACCTATGGTGTGATCAGACCCTTCTTACTTATTCAAGTTTATTTATTTTATTGTCATTATCAGTGACCAAGCCCCCCACCCCCGTGTCATCCAGTGACGCTACGCCACTGCCTGGGGGTACCCGGAATATATCCGGGTGCAGTCTATTTGGTGAGGCTACCAATCACCTTATCATCGTATTTTAATGTGATTTAATGGGTTTTAATTCAATTCATATTCAAGCAACTTCCCCGGGGTACCCGGAACATGTCCAAGTGTGTCCAATGTGGTCTGGAACACTTAACACGACTTGCATTGATCTTATTTTTGAATTCTGTAGTAATTTGATGTGTCGCATGATGGTTTTGATACGATTTCCATTAAATCCAGCGTGAAGGCTTATTCGCAGAGATGGCCGAGAATCCATTATCGACGTTACTTTCTGCAGTCCGTCGCTGATGGCAAACATGGATTGAAGAGTGTGCGAAGGATATACCCATAGCGACCATCAGGCGATACGATATGGCATCGGTCAACGGAATACTGTGGCAGTACGGAGGACGAGAACTTGTGACCGAAAGTGGAAGACGAAAGCTTTCGACAAGGATTTGTTCGTTGAGGCACTTCGTGTGGACGGGAGTCCCGTAGATCTAAATGCGGACGAGCTGACAGAAACGTTAGTGAGAGCATGTGACACGACCATGCCGAGGAAACTGGAGCCAAATAACAGACGGCGTCCAGTCTACTGGTGGAACGAGGCACTTAGCACTCTCCGCGCTAGTTGTCTCAGAGCCAGAAGACGTGTTCAGAGAGCAAGAACGGAAGCAGACAGAGAGGAACGAAGAGAAGTGTTTCGAGCGGCCAGGGCCGCTTTTAAACGAGTGATTAAGCAGAGCAAGTCGAACTGTTTTAAGGAGCTGTGTCGAGACGCTGATGCCAACCCCTGGGGTGACGCATACCGAGTCGTGATGGCGAAGATCAGAGGTCCAACGATGCCCGCTGAAATGTGCCCAGAGAAGCTGAAAGTCATCGTGGAAGGACTTTTCCCGAAGCACG